GAGCTTGTTTGTACCACCTGATCACCTGTATCTTTTAAAATATATATGATTTTATCCAATCAGTTGAGAAGGAAGACTTCATTAAGAAAATCCCTTGTGATTTGAATTCTTTGGAAGGTGACAGGCATTAGTATATTTTTCACCTGTGAGGTGACAGGCTCTGCACGTCCAGGCCTTCAAGTGGAGGTCCTCTGCTCTACAGGCCCTGTGTGCAATTCTGATATCCAGAAGCTCTGAATGCTGGATTATTTCCACAGATCATTTGGTGGCAAAGCTTGGCCTGAGCTGGGGTGAGACTGGACGCTCTTCTATTGATTCAACAGAGACTGGAAGTATTAATGCTGTGAGTGCTGGGTGCCGCCCCAAACCCTCCTGGGTGTGTTATGTGGAAGAGGGCAGAGTGATCACATTATCCTTTCACCAAACTGAATACTTTTCAATTTCAAAACCAAACTGGCACCAAAGGATCATCAAGAAAACTGCCCAGGCTGTTATAATACCATCAGGACGCCCTGCTTGACAGCCCCCAGCCTCTCCCACCTGGAATTCAGGGTGCCGTGGAGACCTTTGAGCTGGGGCACAGAATCCTTAGGCATGTGCTCCAGCCTGAGGGTTCCTCCAGGATGGCCAGGAAGACCAGTCATGAGACAGAACTATAGAATCTGAAAAATCCTTAGCACCTAAGAGGTCATCTGTCTCCACCCCCTCACTTTAAGGATGAGGAAATTGTTCAGGAGGGATTGAAATTAACCGACATATCCAAGGCCACTCATTGTTAGTGAGCACTTAACTTTTATGCTTTTTCAAAATGATATTCTTTTCAAATTCAAAATTAACCTATGGGGATATAACCATGTAATCTTAAATTACATTACATTGGAGGAAAATGTTTTAAAGTCAAAAAACTTATTTTATGTAATATTATGCTCTTTTTGGCACATTAAATTTGATAGCCCTTATATTTTAAAAATCCTGTAACTGTGTTATTAAAAAACATTAATCAAGAATTTTTGGAATGAAGTTGCCATAGAAATGAAAATAAAATGCCAAAAAGACATTTTAGCTATAGCTAAGAATTTTAAAACTTACTAAATTTGAGGCTGGGCCTGGTGGCTCACACCAATAATCCCAGCACTTTGGGAGGCCGAGGCTGGCAGATCACCTGAGGTCAGGTGTTCGAGACCAGCCTGGCCAACATGGCAAAACCCTGCCTGGACTAAAAATACAACAAGTTAGCTGGGCACGGTGATGTGCACCCGTAATCCCAGCTACTTGGGAGGCTGAGGCAGGAGAATCACTAGAACCCAGGAGGTGGAGGTTGCAGTGAGCCGAGATTGTCCCACTGCACTCCAGCATGGGCAACAGAGCGAGAGTCCGTCTCAAAAAACAAAACAAAAAACTTACCAAATTTGAAATTAGGCTCACAGTGTTAAAATTTGCAGAGGAGCAAGGCGTATTTTTTTTGCTTAAGGATATGTGGTTGTACTGTCTTTTGCTCAGTTTTGGAGTTAAATTGGTAGCTAGATATTAGAACAAGCATATTTCTCGTTCATGTGTTAAATGTATTCTCCAGGTGTTTTTCTCGTTTTCTTTAAAAGTATAATGCAGGATGTAGGGTTAGGTGTGTATTGTATAAACAAGGATGAATCAAATCAATTCCTTTTGTGTCTTCATTCTTGTCTTTATATAGTGTAGCTAATTTCACACATTCCAGCTGAGGGCCATGCCTTCCTATTGCTGGCCTGTAAAGAAGTCAAAGAGAAATGGTCTCTCTGAGTAGCATTTGGTGAGTCAGGAAGACCATACTGACTGACAGGCACGGTGGAGTGAGGCCTCTAGCTATCCCATGGGACTAAAGAATGATTCTTGGGCTTCTGTTAGTACTTTTGTGTAAGGGACTCAGAGATCTTCAGAGATATTTTTTACTATTAACTAGAACTGTTTGTTTTACTGAGAATATTAAATTCTAAAAATTTAATTAGCAGCATTTGTAGAGGTGGAGGGACTATGACTTGTCTAGAACGACAGCCGAGGTAACAGAAATGGGAATAAAGTCAGAGGTGCTGGGAATGGCACATCACTGCCCTGTGTCAGCCTCCACCGCCTGCCCAGCTCCCGCCAGCCCGAGAGGCAGAGAAAGCAGACCCAGCAGCTGCAGAGCCTCTTCCCCTGGGGAGCTTGCCCGAGTCCTGGCTGCCACACTTGCTGGCTCCTGGACTTGCCCCACCTTACTCCCTGGATGCCTCACCTAGTGGAACGCCGCAACCGAGTTAATGGCCCTTCGGTGAAGGATGAAGTAGACTGTGCGCTTACACTGCACAGCTCAGGCAACAAGCATGTTAGCAAAGGGAGGTCAGCATCGATCAGAAGTGCAGGGACTGAGCCCCAAACCTGGCTGTGAATTTCCAGGTGGACAAGAAGGAACACGGTCATGTGGGGAGCTACCGAGCATACATCAGCCCAGAAAAGCAGCTTCCTCCACCTTTTGCTGGGGTGCACAGAGCATGTGGACAAACGGGGAGAAAGCACTGCCAGACAAGCACCTGGGCAGCGGCTGTGGCACTTGGCCACGGGAGGAGCAGGTGGGTGTCTTAGAGTCCGCCTGTTAATGCTGTTTCTTCCACTGGATTTTGAATATTCCGTAAATTGACCTCAGTTTAAGGAATATTCTCTTTGCAGATTAGGGACAAGATAAGAAGCCACTTGGGAGCCAGTTAAGCTGTGGGGAAGCACAGGTCTATTTTGAAAATTAGAGAACCTGATAGTCTGGATTGTTTTCTCATTGGAAGGCTTCCCTTCCCACAGAGGGACCCTGCAGACGACCGTTGACAAAGTCAGCCTTTTTCTTTAGGAAGCAACTTGGAACTTGCTCCAGGGTTTGAATCAATTCCTCTCCATATTACAGAGCATGAAAGAAACACTTTTGATTTAAAACTGTTGTGAGGCAGGTGTTAACAGTTGTTCACCATGGCCACAGGAAGACCATGTGCAGTGGTGCCACTCGGTTCACTGCAACCTCCACCCCCTTGGTTCAAGCGATTCTGCTGTCTCAGCCTCCTGAGTATGCCACCGCACCAGGCTAATTTTTGTATTTCTAGTGGAGGCGAGGTTTCACCATGTTGGCCAGGCTGGTCTTGAACTCCTGACCTCAGGTGGTCTGCCTGCCTTGGCCTCCCAAAGTGCTGGGATTACAGGGGCAAGCCACTGTGCCCAGCCTATCTTTTCTTTATGCTGGGAACATTAGAATTATTTTCCTGTGGGTATTTTAAGAATTAGTCATTGATTTATTTATAGAGATGGGGTCTTGCTGTGTGTTGTCCAGGCTGGAGTGCAGTGGCTGTTGACAGGCGGTCACTGCACACTGTACCCTCAAACTCCTGAGTTCAAGCGATGCTCCCGCCTCAGCCTTCTGAGTAGGTGGGACCACAGCTGTGCACCACCACACTCAGCTCTCTTCCAGCTGCTTGAAATGTACCGTCAATTAAACTAATGTTAATTGTAGTCACTCTACTGTTCTGTGGAACACCGGGTCTTAGGAGTAATCTCAGTAAGAAATCTACAGGACTTATTCGTGAAGGAGACAACGAAAATGTTACTGAGAACAGTTAAAAGAACATTTGAATAAATGGAGAAACATATTATGTTCTGTATAGAAAAATAGAATATGATAAGGATGTTACTTCTTAAGTTTAAATTAAACTTCATTGCAATTTAGTTCAGTGCAATTTTAATAAAAATCCCAATGGGATTAAAAGATTGAAGAACTGATAATTTGAAAAAAAAAGTGAATATAAATAATTTGAAAAAAAAGTGAAGCTAAATAATTTTTTTTTTAATTTGAGGGCAAAAATGACCCTTCCAAATATTATGAAATATAAAGATGCATTATTTAAATTAATGTAGTACTAGTAGAAGTATTGGTTGATAGGTCAGTGGGATGAATTTGATTACCCAGAAATTGAATTTTTCTCTCTGAGAATTTATATCTGTGCACACCTGTGAGTTTGGGGCAGCTTATTTAATAGGGATTGGCACAGTATGAGGAAAAAATTAATCCTTATTTTGTATCATATCCCAGAATAACATCCAGATGGCTTACAGGGTAAATGTAAAGCAGAAACACTCCACCAAACTGCATGTCTTCACTCATTCAGCAGACGTTTAGCAGCTGCTCAGGGTCAGGTTCTTGCTCAAAGGAGTGGCCTTGAGTCTCTGGCCCAGTAAGGAATGTCCGTGGGCTGGAGCTCTGCCGGAGGAAATGACAGGTGCGATCGCAGCGCTCTCCAGCTGGCTCCACCCGATGGGGAGTGTGGAAGGTGTGTTGAGGGGTATTCAGAGAAGGCCTCCTCAAGAAATTGATCTTAAAACTGAGATCTGAGGAGAGAGTCAGAGCTGGCCAGGCGACCTGGCGGAGGGGAGCTCCTGGCAGAGGGAGCTATGGATTTGAGGGCCAAGAGGTCAGTGTGGCCAGGCTACAGTGTAAGTTCAAGTAATGAGCAGATGGTCCACGGGGGGTGAACAGCGCCGGCAGTGAATGCACGCGAGGAGAATCAGGCAACCTCGCTGATGCGAACGCATGTAAACTCAACCAGTACGACAGCTTTTCTCATTAAATGATTCATGATTTTAAATCGCAAGGATTTTATATGTGGTTTAATATCTGGTGGGAGTATAAATTTGTGTAGTTTTTTTTTTTTTGCAAAGGAATGTGGCAGAATGTATTGAGTGTGTTAGAATGTTTATATCTTTTGATCAAATAATTCCATTTCTGGAGATTTATCATAAGGAAGCCTGAGCATAGCCCTTACTCAAAACCCTGCCTTCAAAGAAGGGCGTTACTTCTGCACCAGGGCTGGGGGTGGCCAGGTGTCAGGTGGAGGACTGGCTGGAGGGTAGGTGGCTGGGGAAGGAGCTCAGTGTTCTGGGGGACATTTTAAAAGATGGAAAAAGGCACACATGAGTTTCATGTTGAAATATTTTTTTTTCATTTGTGTTTTCAGATGAAGACCGTCAGTGTTGCCTTAGTTTTGTGCCTGAATGTTGGTGTGGACCCTCCCGATGTGGTGAAGACCACGCCCTGTGCACGCTTGGAATGCTGGATCGGTGAGTACCTCCCTCACCCCCTGCCACAAAGGCCCGCCGTGGCTGGCTCTGGGCTGGGCAGGGCTCGCCGAGCCTGTGGTCTGATCCAGGGCTGGTCTCTGGCTGTGTAGATCTGAGGATGCTTTTTCTTTTTGGAGTCACATCGCCTTTTAGTAATTTCAGATGCAATTCACCTGTGATTTGTAGTGGAGAAAGTGTTTCAAGGAAATTTAATAAAATAATGATTATTGGGTTATCTAATTTTCTACTTTAAATTTGTTCTGTCTGGCACATAGCATCTATGTACACTTAAAAAAAAAGTGGAATGACAGATAACCGCATGGAAATATTGAAAAGGCAAATCACTTCCAGCAAAGTGTCACATAATAGATGGTGGCCTGTAATAATAATGGCCAGCATTTGCCCAGTGCTTATAGTGTGCCAGCTACCATTGGAAGCACTTTACATTTTATCAGCTCTAACCCTCACAACAGCCCTGTGTGGCGGGTTTTATTGTTAATCTCCATTTGAGAGCTGAGCAAAAGGGACACAGAGATGAGAAAGTTGCCCATGGTTATCCTATAAATAGGAGAGCTGGGATTTGAACCTCTGCAGTTCAAGTCCAGAGACTTTTTTTATTTAAATGTGGTAAAACATACACAACACAAAACACCATTCTAGGAATTATTAAATGTACAATTCAATGACATTAAAAAATTCATCATGTTGTGCAGCCGTCCTCACTGTCCACCTCCAGAACATTTCACCATCCCCAACGGAAACTCTGTCTCCATCACACAGCTCCTCATTCCTGCCTTCCCCAGCCCCTAGCAACCACCATTCCACTCTTTCTCTATGAATTTGTCCATTCTAGGGCCCTCGTGTAAGTAGAATGATACAATATTTGTCTTTTTGTTTCTGGCTTCTTTCACTTCGCATTGATACCTCCAGAGTTCACGTTGTATTGTAGCATGTGTCAGAATTTCATTCCTTTTTGAGACTGAATTTTATTTCATTGTATAGATATACCACACTCATTTATCCATTCATCTGTGATGGACATTTAGGGTGTTTTTGCCTCTTGACTGCTATGAATAATGTTGCTATGACCCGAGTATACAGATATTCGTTTGAGTCTCTACTTTTCATTCTTTTGGATATATACCTAGAAGTGGAGTTGCTGGATCACATGGCACTTCTGTGTTTACCTCTTTGAACAGTTGCCTATTGTTTTCCACAGTGGCTGGACCATTTTTCATTTTCATCAGCAATGTACAAGGTACCCAGATTCCAGTCTCTCCACCTCCTGGCCTTCACTTGTTATTTTCTGTTTTTTTTTTTTTTTTTTTTTAAATAATGACCATCTTCATGGGTGTGGAGTGGATCTCATGGTTTTGACTTGCATTTGCCTCATGATCTATGGTGCTGAGCATCTTTTGTGGGCCTGTTGGCCATTTATAGGTCTTCTTTGGAGAAATATCTGTTCAAGTTCTTTGCCCATTTTTGAATTGGGTTGTTTGTTCATTTTGTCATTGTTGAGTTATAGGAGTTCTTTATGTATTCTGAAGATTGGTCCTTTAGCAGATGTATGGTTTGCAAAGTTTTTCTTCCATTAGAGACTGTGTTCTTAACCATTCCACACTATATATACTTTTCTTCTTTTAGCATCAAATTTACTGAAATACTTTTTTTTTCTTTTAAATTTTGAGATGGGAGTCTTGCTCTTGTCGCCCAGGCTGGAGTGCAGTGGCGTGATCTTGGCTCACTGCAGCCCTCACCTCCTGGGTTCAAGTGATTCTTCTGCCTCAGTCTCCCAAAAAACTGTGATTACAGGTGGCCACCACCATGCCTGGCTAATGTTTGTATTTTTAGCAGAGAACTAGGTTTCAACATCCTGGCCAGGCTGGTTTCAAACTACTGACCTCAGGTCATCCACCCACCTCAGCTTCCCAAAGTGTTGGGATTATAGACGTGAGCCACCGCGCCCAGCTGAGATGTAATTTATATACAGTAAAGTTCACATTTTGTAGGTGTACATTTATTTAAGTTTTGATAAATACATGCAGTCATGTAACAAATGCCACAATCAATATATAGAGTATTTCTGTCACACCAAGGAAGTTCCCTTGGGCTCCTTTGTAATCACTCCCCTCTCAGTTCTCAGGCCTCTGGAAACCATTGATCTGATTTTTCTATCTACATTTTTTCCTTTTACACATGTCATTTAAGTGGCAACATATCGTTTGTAGTTTTTTGTATCTTCCTTTAGCAAATTTATTTGTGATCCATCTGTGTAGCTACATGTATTAGTAGTTTTTTTCCTTTATTCCATTTTTGTGGCTCTCCCACATATTGTTTATTCATTTACTAGTTGACAGACATTTGGGTTGTTTCTGGTTTTTGGCAGTTATGAAAAAGTTGCTATAAGCACTTGATCTTTGTGGAAACATATTTTTTCTGTGTAAATATTTAGGACTGTGATTATTAGCTCATATGTTAAGTGTATGTGTAATTCTTTGAGAAACTGCTGAGGCCGGGTGTGGTGCCTCATGCCTGTAATCTTAGTACTTTGGGAGGCTGAGGTGGGCGGATCACCTGAGGTTGGGATTTTGAGACCATTTTGACCAACAGGAAGAAACCCCATCTCTACTAAAAATACAAAATTAGTTGGATGTGGTGGTGCATGCCTTTACTCCCAGCTACTCAGGAGGCTGAGGCAGGAGAATCCCATAAACCTGGGAGGTGGAGGTTACAGTGAGCAGAGATTGTGCCATTGCACTCCAGCCTGGCCAACAAGAGTGAAATTTCATCAAAAAAAAAAAAAAAAAAAAAAAAGAAAGAAACTGCTGAACTGTCTGTTTTTAAAAGATTTAAAAAAAAAGTAGTGAATAGATGTCTTTTATATTTACCTTCATATTTATTGTTTTGAGGACCATTCATTTCTTTCCCCAGGTCCATGTTTCTATCTGGTATCATCATCATTCTGCCTGAAGAACTTTAACATATCTTGAAGTGCTGGTCTGTAGACATTAAATTTTCCTAGATTTTTTACGGACAATTCTTCATTTTGTCTTTGTGGTTAAAAGATATTTTTTCTGGTTATAGAATTTTCTGTTGACTCTTTTAGTACTGTCTTTTGAAACAGTTACCTGTTGTCTTCTGGCTAGCAGTTTCTGAGAAGTCTGCTGTAATTCTTTGTTTCTCTGTTTATTTCATTTCTCTCTGGCAACCTTCAAGATGTTTCCTTTGTATTCTCAGTAGTTTTATGTATAACCTATTGGTTTTGTTTTATTCTTTTTGGTTTTGGGATTTATTCTCTTTGCCCTTTTTTTTTGAAAGAGATGGATGTCTCTCAGTGTTGCCCAGGCTGGGCTATACTTGAACTTCTGGGCTCAAGTGATCCTCTTGCCTCTGCCTCCTGAGTAGCTGTGACTATGGGTGCCCAGTACTGCACCTGTGAAATTATTCTTTTTGTGTTTCTGTGAGCTTCTTGGATGTGTAGTTCGACATCTTCATTTTTGAAAAGTTCCCATCCATTATCTTTTCAGATAGTTCTTGTTTGTTTTCTCTGTCTTCTGGGACTCAACTGTCTGTGTATTGCACTGTTGGACATTGTACCACAGCTCTTCCATGTGTCTCTGTCTTCTGGGACTCAGCTCTCTGTGTATTGCGCTGTTGGACATTGTACCGCAGCTCTTCCGTGTGTCTCTTCTGGAACTCAGCTCCCTGTGTATTGTGCTGTTGGACATTGTACTGCAGCTCTTCCGTGTGTCTCTCTCTTCTGGGATTCAGCTCTCTGTGTATTGCATTGCTGGACATTGTACCGCAGCTCTTCTGTGTGTCTCTCTCTTGTGGGACTCAGCTGTCTGTGTATTGCACTGTTGGACATTGTACCACAGCTCTTCCGTGTGTCTCTTCTGGGACTCAGCTGTCTGTGTATTGTGCTGTTGGACATTGTGCTGCAGCTCTTTGTGTCTCTCTCTCTTCTGGGATTCAGCTCTCTGTGTATGGCATTATTGGACATTGTACCACAGCTTTTCCATGTGTCTCTCTCTTCTGGGACTCAGCCCTCTGTATATTGCACTGTTGGACATTGTACCGCAGCTCTTACCATGTGTCTCTCTCTTCTGGGACTCAGCTCTCTGTGTGTTGCGCTGTTGGACATTGTACCGCAGCTCTTACCATGTGTCTCTCTCTTCTGGGACTCACTTCTCTATGTATTGCACTGTTGGACATGGTTTTGTAGCTCTTTTGTGTGCTCTTCCATTTGTTCTCTCCCATGTTGCATTGAGCTTTTGTTAGTCTGCCAATAAACCAGTCAAATAAATTCTTCCTCTCTGATACAGAGTTTTTATTTCTAGCATTTCCATTGATTATTTTAGTTTCTATCTCTCGGGTGAAATGCATATCGTCCACCTCCTTCTAGAGCCTCTGCTATGTTTATCATAGTTACCTTATAGTCCTTAAGCTATAGTTCAGAAATTAGGGCCATCCCTGAGTCTGAGTCTCTTGATTCCTTTATCTCTTGACTGTAATTTGCTTTTCCTTGCTTTTTTTTGTGTGCTTTATAAATTTTAATTGTATGCTGGACATTGTGTGTAGAAGAACAATAGAGAATGAGGTAAATTGTATAGTCTATAGTTTAGTAAGTAGTTAACTGGAATTGGAATTTGTTGTCGTAATGGTTATACCCACTGCAGCAGAAACTTAGTTCTTAAGAGTGATTAGTTGGTGCTTGTATCAGTCAGGGTTCTCCAGAGAAACAGGGGCAGTAGATGTGTGTGTGTGTGTAAGTGTAAGTGTGTATGTATGTATGCATGTCTTGTAGTCTTGAGGCAGAAATTTCTTCTTTCTCAGGAAAACCTCAGTTTGGCTCTTAAGGCCTTCAACTAATTGGACGAGGCCCCCCTTATTACCAAAGAAAATCTCCTATAAGTCAGCTGATTGTTGATGTCACCATGTGTATAGAGGACTGTCACTGCAGCACCTGGGTTTGTGTTTGATTGACTTGCCGAGTGCTG